ATAATGAGGAAATCTGTGGATTTCTTCTGTCGACTCTTGGGGCATCAGTCCTGAGGTAATTTCCCAGAGATGGACGATGATTGCCACAGATGACACTTGTAAGTCTCATTATCATCGGAAATGGGTGTCTTTTGTTACTCTTCTCTGGCACCTCACAAAACGCTCCTAAATGACCAAGCGTTTCACGTAGTCTCATCTGGGGACCCCCTGCTCACTGCCACCACTTGGCGGAATTGTTTCTCCACCAAAGCTTGAAGACAAAAGCCTATATCCGGTGCCAAAACCATGTCGATGAAACACCGAAAGCTCGCTTCGTGTAATCGGCAAACAAACCGTGATTTCAAATCACCCAAGAAAAGGTGTAAGAATCACACCCACACCTTTCAAGTTATGGCAGTTGTCACCAGCACATGTGGGTTTCGAGATCGATTGGGCACTGCGATGGTCTAGCGAAGAAACCCAGTCATTTACGCGCGCGCACATCCACCCACTCACAAATACACCAGTCACGGCTGACTAACAAGGCCCTCACACACCGCCTGACCAAGTGAGTGCACGTGGCAAAGGATATAGCAGGCACCTTGGACCTTTTACCCTGTCCGAAGGGCGTATGATCCGATGAACTAGACAATAGCGGTTTTCACTTGGGGCCGTGCTACCCTGCGAATCAGGCTTTCGTTAGCCAAATTAATTTACTTGCTTCGATTTAAGCAACATGGCAGTATTCCACCTGCGTCCAAATTTTGGACTGATTTCATTGTTTCCGTGGTTTTTCATCAGTACTCACTAAAATCTCAATCTCATTGAACAAACCGACGCAAATTATCTGTCTGATAGATTGTGATCGAGATTTGATAACGTCTAGGGGCAGAGAAATATGCTTCACCTCCCATTCTGTTCGATGGAGTCAAATAGTCGAAAATTCCTGCCAAAGGTAAAACAGTTCTCAGCCATTAGAACTCCACAACCTGATGGTACAGTTGTTCTTTCCCATCCTATCACACATAGGCACGTTATTTGACACGCAACATTGAGGCAGAGAGCGTAACTGCAATGGCTCGTCTGGATCAGTGGCTGTCAACCCTCCCTTTGGGGCCGGGCAATGGGGCTACGAGCAACGGGCTTGCAGTGGATCTACTCCCGGGTCCGGCTGACCCCACCTCGCAACTTTTGCCCCAGCAGCCAATCCACGCAGTTGCCTTCCCGTTAGGCGTGGCACGCTCTGGCGGATTTGGATCTCAGGCTCTGTGTGGACGCACTAATCCCTATAGTTTCACTCTAGAAGGACGAAAAATATTGGCCACCGCTGGTCAGGGAATCAATGACCTGGCTCTGTGAGTACTCATTCGTTTTGTTTGTCAGCTGATTTCCATCCACGTTCTCGAATCACCCCTAGATGTTTTATTGCGAGCGAGGATTTGTTATTTTGCGATTCAATTGTTTAGTTTTCACACAACAAAATGCAAAACCCACGTAAAAGTCGTTAGGAGTCTGGTGCCCAAAAGATCCATCCAGTTCGTTTGGTCATTTTACCCGTCCGTTACTTAGTCCATCTTTTATCAGTTTCCTTGTGTAATACGAGCTTGGAAACTATCGATTTCGTCGTGCAGTGGTGGTCGCAATGCTACGTCCGGACGGTGTTTCCTATTGTTTTACGGTGCTCTGTAGTTGGAAACCCTGCTTCAAAGAATTAAAAAAACATCAGATAACGAATTTAGCTGAAGAAAGATGGAAATCTTCGAGACTGCTTCACCGTCCTCACTTGAAGTGATGAATCCACGAACACTTATTTGGGACATATATATATATATATATAGACTTTGTGGTATAGATTCTAAAAGAAGAGGTCAATCAAGAATGTCAGAAGGGCGAAAACCTTCTGGAAAGTTGGTCCATTTCTATGAGAAAACGAACTCAACCGATTCGCGGAATGTGTTAGAGTGTAGGAGTAGTTACGTGGGTCCCTAAGTTCCTCGATCTTATTGGTTGCCTCTACCCTAGAACGTTCTGAAATAAGTTATCGCGCACATTTTATAGAATGCTCAAGAACAATTCGTCGATATAAGATATGCACCCTTTCCCTGAAATCTAACGCAGTTTTACACCCTCGAATACATCCTTCATGCTATTCTTCTTGGTTGCTGATTTGGGGGAGTCGGCAAATGGAAAGTTAGATTGGACATTGAAAGCTAAGTTCATGGGACATAACAGGAAGTTCGAAAGCATTGGGCAACGGTTTCAAAACATTTCATATCGTTGAGAACAGTGCCGATGGACTGATCCCACCCACTCCTGAGACTTCACTGGCAGAACGTAAGCTTGCGATCCATTCAAATGTTAATCAACTAATCTGACATGCGGTTTCGTCTCTGTGTGTCAGTAGTTATTGTCGTTATGTTGCCCCAAATTGATGCAGGTGATGAGGATTCTAACGTAACTGAGAAACGGAAAAAATGATTATGTTCATCAGAGCCCAGTAGTGAAAAGAAGGCCTTGATCTGTCACGCAGTAGAAAAACCCCGTGGAACTCATTTGCTTGGGTTTACTTAGGCTTCCTGGTTAGGTACCTAGTGATCAACCAAGTCAGTTGTTTGAGACACTGGGTGATATGGATGAATGTCGTAAACATTCAGGCCGGGGCATCTACTCGCTTTAGGCACACATCTTTGCTTTTTCGTTACAAGAGGCCCCGGTGCCACTCTAGGATGTCTCGATAATGCATGGGCAATATCCTGTGAAGTACCACAACGAGCTTTTGAGGCAAGGATCTCGTCTAACTGACGATTAGAATATAAGTCACGAAGCGATTCATAGTACTTTCTCACCTGCACTGAGTCGTGTTTTTTGGGAATCAACTTCACTTCATCCTCCAGAGAGAAATATCGGAATAGTGCTACCGTCGTATTCATTCAGTTGCACAAATCCCTTGCTCCTGAAACTCTTTTTTCTTCCTTTACTTCCTGTTATCGAATGTGTGGTTGCTCAAGTAATTTTCCGGAAGTAGATAGCAACCAACCGAAGAGCTACCATGTGATACAAAGAAAAGAAGATTGGTTGACGGCAGTTAGATTTCAACACACGGTGACAGTGATAAACAAAATCGCGCGACTATCCTTGAGTTAACAAAATTAAGATAGTGTGAATTAAAAGAAATATAGGTAATCTGCCTTTGTTGTATTTATCATGGTTCTGTCCTCAGTGGCGGAGAGACAACGAGAACCGGCACATTCAGTCAAGTGACAGTGTAACGTCAAGATATTTTACCATTATTGGTGTCGGTATAGTTTCACGATTGGGTTGGAAACCTATTTGTGAAGACTGAATATGTTTCGTTGGTCAACTGGGAAAACACAACATCCTGACATTTTTAGGTATTCAAAGAGAAGGAACGGGACCGGGACCAACTAACGTCGTTTACCGTGCTTTGAATTTCTGAAGCCTCTTCAGTGGTGAATGCTTCGCATCCTAAAACAACATCATCCGCGTATTTACAGCCAATGAATATAAGAGGAAGGGGAAATTGTTTGACATATATTGAAACGAAAAACGGGGAAAGATTGCACCTTGTCGAACACCAGAAGCAACCGGGCGAGTGGAGGATTTCTTATCGTCCTGGCACGTAAACTGCTTTCTATACGTGATATAATGGCGGATCAGTCTGCCAACATTTTGGATTAACGCCACTTTTGGTAATCAAGTTAAGCAATACCGATCGATGAAAACTGCCAAATGCGTTTGTGTAGTCTACGAACACCATTCTGACGGTTTTACACTTTCTATCTGGAGTTGAAAGTATTTCAGATTCGATCAAAATTGTAAGCCACTCGACTCGGATTCCCCGTCCATGCTTATAGGCCTGTTCTTTCCACCTGTGTAGCTGTTATAGTAACGGTGTTGAATACGAAAACCGTTTCGAGTGGACAACACTCATCATCATCATCGTACAGCGAGATACAGTGAAGCGAACTTCACTGATCGCTACCAAGCTCAAAATGTACACAATTTAGAGAAGGATTGGGCCTAACTGGAGGGAGGCAAAGAAAAACAACCTGTGTTCAACACAGTGAGTACACAATTTGGGTGTGCACAAATACATTCTCAACCATTTTGATCCAATAACAAATGACAACATGAACGCCACTGCTATCGGTTATTTACCATATATTTCAGTGTCTCCAACCAGCCAGTGGCGGAGTCTTCCGGACCCCAGCCTGGAAGACGAGAGATACCTGTTCTACTTACTCTCTCTGCATTTCTTCAGGCCTCGTTTCCATGTCATCTGTTGACCTTCACGTGATTTCTTCCAACCTGGAGCCGCAGCTGCGAATAAGGCGCGGTGCGGTAGACATGGGCATATGCAATACATGTCCTAACCAGCGAAGCCGATTAATCTGAATTCGATGGGATAACGAATTCTCCATCGAATAATTACCAAAGACGCCTTACTTCAGAGTTGCTTACACGCTCGGTCCATCCGACCCGCGCCAAACTACGTAAACATCGGCAGTTGAAGACTTCTAGACGGCGTATATCTTCCACACCCAAATTTAGGATCTCGCAATCATAAAGTAGAACTAACCACACACTGGCGCAGTATACACGACCTTTTAGTTTCAACGAAACATCGCGTATGCAGCAAAGGTGTGTCAGTCCTGCGTAAACCGCTCGAGCCTCCGCAATGTCGGGTTACTTCATTGACTATACTGCCTTCATTTGTCACGCAGTAACCTAAGTAAGAAGAACATTCCACTATAGCTAATTGTTGACCATTAAGCATCAGAGCCGGGGTAGACGACACCCAATATTGTAGCATCACTTTGCACTTTGAAGGTGCAAAGCGCATGCCGAAAGGAGTTACAAAACTTGTTAGTTTGTCAAGAGCGCTTTATGCATCCCACATACATTCGAACAGATAAACGATGTCGTTAACGTGCTCTAAATCGCACAGCCTTTCTCCGGCTGCCAATCCAATATTTACGTTTTGGAGACCACTAGGTGAGTTCCCCAGTATTTCGTCTACGACAAAATTGAGCAGGAATGGCGAAATAAGGCACCCTGGTCAAAGTAAAAACTAAGGTAGTCAGTAACTTGTTTACAGAGGGGTTTTTATCCGGACACCCCGAAATTCTGTGACGGCAATCAAGGATCTCAGCCTAGGTTCTAGGTCCCCCGATATATAATTCCGTTGATTCATTATCTTGGAGGTCTTCTTAAAAACGCTCACCGGTAGTTTTGCTGTATGTAGTTAGGTACGTTCCTAAGATGCAATGATCAGAGCTACTCAGAGAAGCACATTCCATCGAATCCATTCAAGATGAATGGCTTGGGTCAGGGTGACCTAGTGATTTATTCACTGTCTCCGGCGTGTTTGGGAATCTGTTGTTCGAGCCCCACCAACTCAAACCAACGTTGGTGGTTAACAACTTTGCTGCTGTTCGGTTCAACACCACACCTAACCTAGCGGGGCCTTATGTAATTCGCCACTACAGATTCCAGCAGATCTTCGAGATTATGGGGTTCCACCTCGTCTATTGTCCAAAACACATCAATGTTTAATAACAAGCTAAACAACGCTGATTGACGAATGCATCTGATGGTGTTCCCGTCGCTGATTCACATGTCCGAACCAGTTCGAGCGTCTGTCCTTATTGTTGGTCAAAATCCGACTGCACCCTTTGCCATTGTGGGACTTAGTTTTGTGCAACACAAAAACACTGATAGTAGAATCGGCGATAGAAAATCGAGCTTATCAATGCTGTTCCAACCAGATAAGTGCGAGCTGTTAGGGGTCGGATGACGAATAACTTGTTTCCAATCGAGCAATGTACTGGATGATTACATATGTGGTAGTAACTTAACTCGTTCCTCTCATGTATTCTCCCCAATGGCTTTCACGAACATCTTAGACTCAAATGACTGATGGAAAATATGGAGTAGAGTCGGTGCACGAAATGGGTTTCACCGCTATTTTGTTTTTCAAATGTGTCCACGTGGAGTCACAAAATCTGGCTTACTGGTATTCTGTCTGATCAGTATACTGGGCTTTTGAACGCTTTTGGAATTATACTTACCAAAGTCAATCTTATCCGGTAAAATACGCCTCAATAAATGTGTTACGCTTTTAGCGTACACACTGATCGAGTGTTCAGAGTTGAACAAAATTCATTTAGGCATCCTTCAAATAGGACCTTTCATTGACACATTCTATGGGTAGCAATATACCGAGAGATGAGGATGATACCTTGGATGATTGAACTTCAGCGTTCAGATGTTGTCTACCTCGGTTCTGATGCTTGATGGTCAAGAATTCGCTTTAGTGGAATGTTTCTCCCACTCAGGTAGTTGCGTGACAAATGAAGGCGGTATGGACAAGGAAGTAACCGCCCACACGAACAGCGTAGGCAGGACTGAAAATCTTCGGTGCAGACGTGATATTTGGTTGAAACGGAAAGATCGCGTATACTGTACAGAGCGATTATGTGGATTGGGTGTCTCCCGTCTTCCATGCTCGGGTTCGAAAGACTCTGTTAGTGGTTGGTTGGATACATTGATGGATATGGTAGCGAACCGCCAGCATTGGCTTTCTTGTTGTCATTTCTTATCAGGTCGGAATGCTTGATAAGCTATCTATGCACAGCTAGGTTTTGTACTAGGAGTGCTAACGATAGAGATTCACCTTCTCCGCCCGCGAATTAGGCCCCCATGCCTTTTCATCCTGTACTTCGTTATTTATTTTGTGTATTGTGAGCTTAACAGCTATCAACAAAGTTCGTTTCACTATCTCGTACGATGATGCTGATGATCCGCAAGTATTTCGCCACCGTCCCGCACGGTATCTGGAATACAATCAATTTTGCCAATTCAAATCCCAAATCTTTATATAATCCTTAAACAATAATGGTATGGAACAGGGGCCCGCATTCCACGCAAATGCGGGAATGCTGTAAAGGTATCCGTTGCACTGCAGCTACCCGAAACTGCGGTCGTGATGTCGATAAATATCACCAATGGTCCGGCTGTAGTGTGCTTATTGAGTTAAAACAGCAGCCCTTGATGCAGTTAGGTAAACATTCCTAAATTTAATCTCTGCTTACTGTATTTGAAAAAAATGTTCGATGATAACCTTGCATGGGCATCGTGAAAAAACAAAACATCAACCCAATGCCTTTTTGGTGGAATTCGTTTAATTTTTGTACTTACGATCTTAACTCCAAACGTTTTCACTTGACACGAAAAGCAATGTCACTGTTCGCTGATACTGTTGATTGCCTCATTTCTAGTTACACGAATATCTCGGAGCCTTGCAAACGAATGGAAGCCACACTATTGTGGGGTCATATAGCTCCAACCTGTCCGGACACGTTGGCCGGCTATCCAATGGTGGCTGAGGATCAGCTCGTGATACGACCGGATCCGCAAAACCCCACTTGCTCTCCAGACTATCCGGATATTTACGTGGCGGGTTGTCAACCGGGTTCCGATGCTTCTTGGTCTCGGGCGAATTTACACTGGGATGAGACGGATCAGAAGGGTGCACTGCTCGTTGCCGTGCCCAGATTCGATGTTGCGTTCCAATTGGTTCTGGTTCATTTGCACTCACTGGACTGTCGGGTGATCCGATTTGATACAAGTCTACTAGACGAGTGTTAATCGTACAGTTGTTTCTCCTGTATTTTCTTCAATAAATGAAATTTCTGTATAGTTTGATTTTTCTCAGTCAGCGGCTCGTTTGGATGAGTAAAATTCATTGTCTGACACATGCCCGAAAATAGTCTGCGCAGTATAAGTACCGCGTTTGCAGTTGTCATTACAGAAGGGAGGTTAACGCATGTGGCGGCAAATTATGAAGGATTGGACGGAGAGATGAGAATGAATGCGTGTTCCTCGTCTTCCGATCCTGGGTTTGGATAACTTATTTTCCGAGATCACCGGACGACTTGGCAGCAGACCACCACCAACAGCGACGGTCCTCTTATCTGATCAGAACGTTTCAACAGATGTGTATGCACACCTAGCCCAAGTATTTTGTTGACCACAGCGGTTCATTTCCAATCTTCATTCTGCTCTTTTATCGAAATGAGCGGTCAGCAAAACCGGCGTATGACTGATGGTTGTAGAATCTGAAATTTCACGTGCCCCTCCCCCCAGATTAAAACTGGTCGAAACTACTTTCCCCCTACCGATTTGTATTCATCATGACCTTGTCAGTGACTTTCCCTGCTTTGTTTTACTACTTGATGAATAAGTTTCACAACGAAGACTGACGTATTTGATAGTTCAGTAATTTGAGCCATCCTTTTCACTTGACATTAGACACATTGCGCTCGGTGCTTGTACCGTAACTCATGCAATTTACAACACATCGATGCTTAAGTATCCCCGGGTTCCTCTTGCCACTGGCAAATTAGGTTAACCATTTCGGTGTGAAATGAAGGAAAGCAATCTCACGTGACTGTGCACATTGAAAAGTCGCTCGCGGTTTGAAGTCTGGAAATCTACGGAGGTAGCACCACTGGTCATCATCATTACATGGCAAACTTTACTGATCGCTGCCAGACACTCGATGTGTACGAAAATGTGGGAAACGTTTGATGAATCCATACGATAAACATAAAAAGTACCATTCAACGGCATCTCCAAAGTCTCTTCATATGGGGTATCTGTTACTGAATTACGGAAACAAAGCCATTGGTGTCGGTTTACGACCATGTTCTTCAGTATAACTATCCAATCGGTTGCAGCTCCTTAGAGATTCTAGCTTGGAAGAAGAACGTTTCTCAGTATGGCACTTGATGACTGTGCAGTCCATATCAGTGTTTTTCCACCTTTCAATTTAACCAACCTCGAAGGAAATTCAAAGCGTTTCACAGCAATTCTTCTTGACAGGGGTTACGATTTTCCGAAAAATCGCATAGTCCGACGGAAAAAACAAACAATGCTCGAGCAGAAGTGCGTGAACTCAGTGATTATTATGCATTTGCGTACTGTTCTGCGCTGATATTGCAGAAGTATTCGAATCCGGTGTCAGAGTCGCTTCCGTGGTAACCCTATTCCTAATATCAAAGCGATTCGGAATTGAAATTATTCAGAAGTTGTGGTAACCCAATTTGAGATGCCGTCACATAAAAAAACGTGAATCGGTCATCTTGGTGATGATCTCACCGATTCCGAAGAAAACGGGCAACGTTAGAACGCAATATTAACAAAGTATTGGGCAGATCTATGATTCAAATTTAAAAAGCATGTGGCGGAGGTTACGCGCAGCTCCCTGCGAATTTTGTGCATTATCCACTAACTACTTATGAGCAGTGTAAATTTGCAGCACTGTTGGGGGTTGCACGAATTTCATTTGACATTTGAAGGTACCAGCAGGATAATTCTTAGTTCTAACTGATCGCTTGTTCAGTTATCCGCAATCGCAGACGAGATAACTGCAGCAAGCCGTTTGCGAGATCGATTTCAGGACCAAGGTCATATCGCAATGCTGCACATCAACGTGGTGCATACTACAGAAAACGCTGTTTATACCTGTCTTCAACACGAAAAGACAAAAGTGGTAAACGAACGACCGTGTCACAAGAGCAATAATTACGTAACCGAGTGGTTTCACATATTCAAAATGGGTCCAAAGACAGACGCACTCGAGGTCAAGTCCGCTGCATAGGAATGATGGTTGAAAGCAGAAGACCCACCCATCTGTCATAGCTCGACAACCGATGACGCAACACCAGACTGACTGAAGCAAGGCGCCTCAGATTTTCTACAAGTCGACAACCGCGATATTGCTTAGGTTTGCTATCCAGCGACACAAACTCTCCAGTGTCAAAAATATTGTTGGCTTGTCCTTAACACGGTCTTCCTTTTATGTTCGTCCGTTTCATTGCATTTTATTTTGCCTCGCTGCCGTGCTAAGGCCCCATAGAAACCTTGTGTTTTCTAGAGTACGCACCATGTTGAGATGCAGCGAGATCGTCCTGCAGAATTACTATATGGTCTTTTCATTTGAAATCACAGTTGAGTTGAACAAAATGTAAGCAGCTTATCGTACGGAGTACGTGTATAGGAAAACCAATGAGTGATCAGACCGAACTAAGTACTCTCCACGCAGCTCACAGGATTTCCCTATTCTGCGCCAATAAACGAACGTACTATCCATAGAGGTCGTGCGTAATTGATCCACTGTTGGTTCCTAGTCACCCGAACCTGACGGGCGAATGTCACAAGATCGAAGACACTGAATAGCTAGGTTGTTGGCTGTGTGGGCAGATCAGTGACAATGTGAGTGTTGCGGGACCTGGATGACAGTGTTACCCTGCACGTGAGCCGAGCGAAATGAAGAGTTAGTGAGTGGGATAAGGTATGAAAAGTGGATGGGCAGACACGTGGGTGGCGTATTGGGGATACCCGATTGATGGTTATATCAAGAGAACATCACCGATGGCGGTTGTTACAGTTTTCATCCCATGTTCCAAAATTACATCATGGTTCTCAGGATACGTTTGAATGGAATATTCAATTCACATACAGGACTTATATTGATCCAGGTGGTCCTAAATTGTATCATCAACGATCGGTAAGTGATTTTTAAAACATTTTCTGTTGATAATATAGCCTACCTACGAAATAAAGCGGTCCACGAGTAACCTTCGCCTAACATCCTCTCGATTACTCACATCCGGTTGGTCAAGATCGCGTTTATCTACATAAAACCGGGAGTAATGAGAACAATTAACTGGTCGATGAATCGGGTTAGTTGAATGACGAGCTGACTCGAATGCAGTGGTTGTCATCGAAAAACAATCAGTGATATGGAATAATAGAGTCATTATGAATGACTTCACCGATCCCGAAAAATCGAGTGTGCTCCGCGTCGTTTGCTTCGGGTTGAGAGCTTCTGTACCGATCGCTTCGGTTGTCATTGATTTTAAGCATCCGACTTATCATTAATCACTCTGCATGCGACATGAAACGCGTTGGCCGTTACAACCGAATGCCCTCATTCTAGTAAATGTCTTGATCGAACAAGATCGTTGCCGTTATGGACTATATTTGCACTATCCAGTGATGATTATCGAAGCACTTTCGGAGTGGACCAAAAATTTCTCAAGGGGTAGAAACTTATTACCACCTATCATTTCCAGAGAGTAGAAAGATTAGACTAGACGGAAAGCCAATGAACTGCGACATAAAACGAGCAGGGCACAAGATCAATTTTATGCCCTTAAACCAAAAAAATGCAAGAAAATACTTAGTATTAAGAGCCAGGCAGAAACGCTAGAACCGTATGATGAACAACACAGAGCTATGACGATTTGCGTGCCATCAGCATCCCGGGCAAATTCGCAGACGGAAAGGGTTGAGAACGGACGAGAAAGTCAGCAGAGGCTCCGAAGAAAACTGATGATTAGTCTTCCTTTCAACAATGACGATGCAATCGATAAGATCAACAGGAATGTTCACGATAGTCGATGGGTAAGGTATTATTATCAACGCATCAGCCGTGCTAGACGGATGGTACAAACTCAAGTTCTATTTCGGTCAGATAAAGTCATTGAATGATGAACCTGACTTTCTGGCCACCCGATGTGTTCTGCTAACCTCACTTTTTGATTGATAAACGTAGTCTAATGGCTCGATAATGAGCGATTGAAAACAGACATTTGCCTAGGTTTGGCCTTTGTGCTTGTGTGTGCATCTGGTCATGTGATGAGCAATATTTTTGAGGTTTATTTACAGATCGTAATAAGTCAAACATATGTGCGTTTCGACCGTATCAACATGTTTTGATGAATGAATGAACGGTTGCTTGATGATCATTACCGGTTCTAGAACAAGATATTGAATTCTACATTATCAAAGAAAACAAAAGGAGATTGAGAATCGGATGAGTAAGCAATTTTGAAATTCCTTATTGGTTTGTTGGCTGTACACTGCAGGTGTGATTTGATGTGGGAAAGATCAATTCAAAGTGGAGTGCAGGCTGGTCGGGACAGTTGTGGACTGATGAACAACAAACAGATGAATGGAACTTAGCGATGAAGATGAACGCATCATTGGGGGAAAAGTCAAAGAATTGCATATCAATCGTTCCTGAAAGAATAAATAGACTCGTCACATCTTACAGACCAGGATAAGTGTGACCAGATGGGAGAAACATGATTCCGGTAAAGCATTGCACAGCTCTCCAAAGGGCGATTAGGACCGTGTCAAACATTATACTAATCTGAAAAAGTGGGGTAAAATAAGTCATAATTATGCGGGAAACCACCGAGAAGTACATGTGACAAGAAAGCCATAATAAACTAGCAGGCGACCGAAGGAGCTGGGTGGGAGTCGGAGGATCATAATCACAAAGTCACCTGCGTTCGTATAGGAGACACACGCATGACAGCGGCGTTGGCGGCAAGGCGTGCAGCATGAGCGTGAAAAGACACGAGACAAGCGCAAGCCAGCGGGTCTGGTTTGACAAAGCCTGGGAACACATTACGTCCACAAGTGTGTTTGTGTACTTGCACCATTTGCAGAACTGGACTGAAGGCATGAAGGAAAATGCAATGACCAAGCTCGACTGTAGGACGCTCGGTCTCAAAGCGGTGCGTGCGATAGACAATGAGTGTGTCGAGGTGTGTGTGTGTGTGTGCGTGGGGGAGGGAGTCTGATAACCATGAGAAACGAATACCACTGTGTAAATCTATACTTGATTCATAAGCCCGACTTGTCACCAATCGATATGAAACAGAGGTGAATCAACTCTGCTGCAAGTGTGGGAGCGCGAACAGAAGATCACTGATACATAACTGCATCTGAATGATTGTTACTGTGGCTGTTGGGCTAGATAAAAAAAGAGCGAAAAAAGAAATTGAACCGTAAGCGGCAGTGCGGATCGTACCCACACTGGGAAGAGAGTGGTTGATGTACGTGTCTGTCTGTCTGCATGTGGATCCTTGGGTTAAGCGTCTGACGGAATCACGGGAAACCCCATCACCAGTGGATGCCACTCAACGTCATCATTGACACTTGTGGAGGACCAGATCTTGTATTTGAGAAAAACACCTGTGGGATGAGGTCACAAAATAAGCGTGTGATCAAAGTTGATAATGATAGTAACAGCAAAAACAGGGTCATGGTAACAAAAAGGTTTCGTTATTTCCTTTAAAGGAATGGAATGCAATGCAGGGAAATAAAATGGGACGATATGTTCGTGAAACTGTGTGCTGATGTTCTCACAAAATTATGACCAATGAACATGTGGGTACATCGGGGCGGAAAGGAATATCGTGGCTTACGTATGACTACGATGAGGGTCAATTTGTAGGTATCACGGAATAATTGCACCCGAACAAAAAATCATCGTGATCTGATGCGGGCATCTAATCGTGCATATATTTAATTGAGAGGAACATAATTCAAAGTATTTACGCGGCACAGAAGCAGCTTACCTTATCGTTTCGCTCACAAAGAAATTTGAATTTCTGTTCCCTTTTGTGCATAAATACACCGTCCAAATGACCAGTCTCAGCTGATCGGACCTCAATCGCCTTGAGACCCCAACCAAGAAGTTGACCCGTGGAGATATAGGCCACCGAGGTAGGCACCTCACCCCATTGGATCACCACATTCTTAGTCAGCTTGCCGTTTGTGTCCACATAAACACCTTCAGCTGAAAGGGTGAAGGAAAAATGAATATGACGAAACGCTTCAATGAACAGTTGAAAAATGGTATGAGTCTTACAGGTCAAACTGTTAGGAGAAATCCAGGGTCATCAATCGCAAAACATCTCATGGCAACTGGACATATCGTTGTCGTTCAAGTCGTTATTACGTAACATGAACCCCAGGATTTTGGCGTTTAGCGAGGCGATGCTAATCAAGTTACGTAACCCAATCTGGAGTGCACAAAATTATCTTACACAATCAGTCAGGCTGCCACGGAACTGATTCCCCACCCCATCCTCTCCCTCGCTTCCCTGACTTGTCTGTTTTATCACTGTTGTTACCAAAACTTGCTTGTACAAATACCATATTGTTTTACGTTGTAGCGACTGAAGAGATTAAAAGAAATGTTAACATCTCGCAGTCTTTTATCGGTTCTCACGAACTGGATAAAGGGAACCCAATGTTTCAAGTCTCCTTTCGTTGCTATCGGTACAAAAGAAATGATTGGCTATATCCGAAGAAGTTCTTTAAACAAACATGAATTGGTAATTCTGGTTAGCTCGATTGCGGGCTGGTAGACATAGTGATAACACACATCTTTCAGGCAATGGGTTTGGAGCTCGAGCGCCCCGGTGGACATGAACTATCGATGAGCTATAAGGAAAGGGTAACTAGAGCTTAGTGCTTCCTGGGTGTAAGGTTGAAGGGATGGACTGTGGATTTTCAAAGAAGATGAAGTCTCAAAGATGATCACTTTCAACGAACAACATCTATAGTACACGACTACTACCAAAAGTGACTGAGGGGAAACGTAAATCCGGATTTTCTTTAATCTTAGTTCCTTTTATTGAGTACACAATGATACAGTTTTCAGGAAGAGGGAAGCGGCCAACCAAAGGGCTGAAATGGAGAAAGTCAGGCGGTGGTGGTGGGGTTTGAACACATGTCTCCCGAGGTGATAATTTGGTGACGTTACCACCGGGCCATCACCGCCACAAGCTAGGGTTTTGGCTGTTCTCAACTTTTGAGGTAGGTCTTAGCAACAAGCAACCCCAATCTGTCTAATCCGATTCTATCAAGTAATCTTAACCGTTTGCACAAAGTACTTTTAGCAATGATCGTATAGGGGCCTCAGGAAGACATTACTATGGACCGGCACAATCAAGTGAACTATATTAAGTACGGTGAAAGACAAATGTGTTCCCATACAGCGCAAGAAATCGCCCTGCATTTTGGCGTTATACATGTCACTGGAGAAGATAAAGTAGCGAACTGGTATACAGTATTTGCTGAGCACAATCAAATCATAACAAAAATGGGACGGTGCAATTCCAAAGGTGTTCAACTTACTATCATAACAGAGCAACAACTGCATGCCGTCCGTGTTGGGCAGTACAACGATGCAGTGTGGAGTGATTTGCGTACTGGTCTAAAAATATGAAAAAATTGGAGTAGTCACGGCACGAGATCCAAGTTAATTGGACAGGTATACAGCACAAAACAAACCAATAAAGAGTTTGTCCGCACTACATCTATGGGTGCGCTAGGTGCACATGGGGGCAGACAGGATGGTGGAAATCCAATTTAGTTCAGTAATGCCAGATGGATGACGATCTAATTAGCTTACGGGTGTGCGAAACGACAAAAAGCTCATTAGACTGGTGCGAACAAAAACGGGAGAACCTCGATGCGGACTAACCTTGAAACGATACTGGTGAGCAATAAGGAGTCGGAACCAGTTGTTTTTTTACAGGTTAGATGCTACTCATTATCAAATATATAAGTTGGGATTTTCGCATCAAGTGAATCCCCACTTGACTGGGTTTCAGGATAGATTCAAACAATCCACGAGTGGTAAAATTAATTGATTGTGAGACATAAAGACACAAGGAACAAGCAGACGGAATGACTGATTTCAAGGAAACGTCGGTTGGAACAAGTGGATTCCATAATAAACGGAACACTGGTAGGCATAGGTAAAACGGTGCTTTATGGCTTCCTCCATCAGACTACGAGCAAAGGGGTGTTACACATCAAACTTAGTTCTTCACAGGGGGATGGTATTCGGCTCTAAATGAGTAAAAATTAGGCATACAAGAACAGCTGTTGCTACGGTGATGCAGATAGAATTTTTTAAAAATCGGAAAAAAGGCAACGACGACTCTACAGTCCAAAAGACAGCACAAAAGTGCATGTTTATTGGCTGTCAAAAAGGTTTAGTGAACAATAATGCGCAGACACGTCGATACGAGGAACATGAGTGGTTAAACCGATAGGAGGATAGATTTTTCGAACGAAAGATTAAAATCCATATCGGGCAGTTTTGGAAAACATGGAAGCAAATGGCGTTACATACTGGTGACAAAGGGAAGGCATACAGGATTTTCGACTCGCTCAACGGATGCGTCCTACAGAACACATACAACACATCATACCTAGCCATCGAACTGCTGTTTTGGCGATTCCACGAGAAGTTATTTGACAAACGAAAATGCGAGATCAAAATGTCAATAGGCACTGCAAAGCTTGAATACGAAGCCAAACAAACAAACGCTTACCGTTGGTGGGATATACAGATCAAAAACGGTGTTCGAATCCAGATCGATCGCATGAAAACCGGCCGAGGAACCGTAGATCACCTTTAGACGCTGATTCTCTTCTACAGTTAGGTCAACTAATAACGGACGATGGGCCAGATCGGAAAAACGCTAGAGATCAGAAGGGAGATGGGTGTTAGTTCACACCTGAGCACAGTGCATATCGCGGAAAACAAACTCTCCAGCGATGCACAGTTCCTGACTCTCGGAAGCAAGAGACGATGAAGCCCGAAAAAATGGACTATTCGGTATCAATATCGAACTAGTGTCAATAGTATGTGTTCTATGAAGCATCCACATCCGAAAGATGAGCAACACCAAAAGGACTCTGTGCGCACATGGATGGGCACCACCTTATACGACAATCAGATGCACAATACAATGTCTGTAACTACCAATTAGACCGATCCTGAGAAATCATATAATATATTCAACACCGGCTTGCGGACAAGCATGGTGAAAACGCCAAAACAATAATAATGATAACAATAATGGGAGGAGAGGTTGGGAGACAGAATATAGGAAAAAGAGGGAACTGTTAAAATGGGATGACAACTTTTTGAGTTTCACCGTACACTTTTCTAAATTTGTGTGTGTTAGTTTGTCTTGTCCTGAGAATTGCAACTGAGACACCGAACAATCCCAACATGATCAGATAGATTACACTAAGAAGCTACTGCACCCGACGTGGCATTTTCGTGAACTTAATAAATACAGTCAGCCCCAACTCACGGTAATGAAATCCAGAGTTTGCATGCTAATAACACTCATAGATATCAATATTTGCGCAACTGAAAGAATCTCACGGAGAGTTAGTGGGTAGGCAATTTTGTATATTTGGGAGTGTTTCGATAGAAAATTTACCATTCCCCTAACTAGGATGTGTGCCATTTATTGCGCGGCAGCTAGCGCTTCAGGATGTAGAAAATATTTACTCCACAGCCTGCCGCACTGTGCTTATTCGCTGTAGCCCCTCCTGGGCTGGAGGGAACCACGTGGAGGTCAACAGATGAGGCATGAAGAAATGCACATAACGATTAAGTAGATTAGGTGTCTCGCACCCTCCAAGTTGGGGCCCTAAAGACCGTCTAATTGGTTTGTTCGGGACACTGAAAGACGTGGCAGCGAACCGACAGAAATGGCATTCCTGTTGTCATTACTTATCAAATAAGAATGCTTGAAACGGTATGTATGCAAAGTTCGATTGTGTACTCCGTGTGCCGACCGTAGAGCTTCATCGTCTTCCCCTCTCTGTTGGTATAAATCAATAAAGCAAGTCCTTTTAGACCGCTGATGTTATCCCTGTCACGAATTAGTTTCGATGCACTTCACGCTTCCGCTCATTAGACACTGGCAAAACCAATGAACTCGGTTTACACATCATCGCATGCCTGACCCTGCCGTCCGTGCTCGCTGTGAATGAGCGCTAGGGGCATGAGATAGGGGTGCTGCATCTCGGTAGTGTGGATGAAAAATGGGATCAGATTAGACAAGTAATGCACTCCGCAGTGAAAGTTTCTAGTCTACTTGAACTGGTAGTCCGTCCGAGGGATTGGACACTTGATGAGTCGATAGCACTGATGGAGATAAAACGGCAAATCCCGACCGTCCGAGATCAAAGAAGGGGCTGGTGGGTCCTAAAACATTTGACCACGAACAACCTCAAAAAAGACCGTGAAAACTGAGGAGCAACAATATCTAGTGAAATGGAAAGAGCGACTGCATCAAGACTGATCCAACTGTTACGTAATGTGAGAGGTCGGTGGACTTGTCAGTGAAACAATCTGCGAGGCAATCCGTCCTGTGCTGGAGTGTTTATCTAGGATAAATTTTCCAGCGCATCCAATTCGGATTAGTACACCTCGCTGATTAGGTCACGTGTTGCGCATGCCCCGTTTTTCTCGGGAGGGGGGCGTATAGTGCCTTATTTGCTGTAGCCGCTCCGGGCTGGAGGAAATCACGTGGAGGTCAACAGATGACGTGATGATGAGACATTAAGAAATGCAATTAGGTAGAGCAGGTTTTTTCTGCTTCCTAGGCTGGGGTCTAAAACACTCCGTAACCGTGTGGTTAGAGACACTGAAGGGCATGGCAGAAAACCGACAGAAGTGCAGTTATGATTGTCACTTCGTCTTATGCCAAATTGCTTGAAAAGGTATCTTACGCACAGTCAGATGGTGCACTAAGTCCTGATCACAAAGGTTCGCGTTCTTTAGTCTTCCCTGAAAAAGACCCAATCCGCGTCCATCTTGTACGTTCTCACTTACCTTGTGTGAATTGTGAGTTAAGCGGTGGATAGTGCTACTGAATCTACTGTATTCCGGTGTGACACTGCCCGAATTACTAACAGCACCGATATGGGTCTGATTTAATGAAAGTTGCAGATTGGAACCCTTTTTATCGAAGATTTAGATATTAATTTTGTGACCCTAACACCGCAACGTTCTGCAGGGCGATATTAATGTTCATACTGAGGTAGCAAACTCATTGGTATCACCAACTCCAGAACAGAGGTTGACCGTATCGCATGTGCTTAGAACATCTTGCAAATAATCAACCACGAAACACAATGAGTGAGTGATTCGTATGCATCAAACGGATGTGGGACATGAAAATCGAATGCACAAACGCACACCGGAATTCTCACGATGCGTTACAAGAAACATAAACATGATCCGGTTTGAGTTTCCATCGAAAAATGCACATAAACGTCGTTGACTAGCCTATACATGAACTATTATCTGTAAAAGGCAAAACAAGGTTGATGAGGAAGTGAGCATGATACAGATCTGAAAGACTGCACAGATTTGAGAACCAGATCAGAAAATAAAGAAATATAGCTGCGAAGGGTGTTAGTAGAAGCGTGGATTCGTACTAGGTGCAGGATGTGGGAAGCTGGAATTCTCGTGTTTATTTAGGGTTTACGCTGTTGTGAACTGAAACGGATCTTCATTTTTGCCTATCCCATAGTCGAACACGAGTAACAGTTATTATCGGTATGCTTAACCCGCAGGGATGAGGAGGTGCATCCAACTTTGCATCCACTTCGAGAAAATTCAAACTGGGCGAGGTGGAACCTTGACAAAGAGAATGATGCCAGGCATGCGCGGTGCGCGATACAAATGAAAATACACGGGAAATTGTAAGCATTAAAAAAGTTATGTTCGCAAGAGGTACTAGGGAAAGAGAACTTAGTGAGTACATGATGGATACGGAAATAAGTGTAGTGGAGTTACGCAACACATACTTTGAAGTCCATGAACTTGTGATATGGCCGCGGAGCCCAAGCGTAGATGCCCACGGAGTCCCTGAGAGCGACAACGAGGAATTTGATTTTTTCATATTTCACTGCAACAATCAAGACGAACGGACAGGAGGTTAGATGGAACTCAAATACAGTCAAAGTCACCGATACCCCCCCCCCCCCCGCCTATAAGAAAAATACTATTAGTTAAAAAATACAGACCATAAAGAGGTTTGTATTCAGAAATAGTGAAGAAGAGATGACAAGGAAATGCAGCACAATATAGTGCTTCTAGTAACAAATAGAAGAGTATGAGAAAAGTGCCGCTTTTGACAAATCAAAATGGATCATGTTCATCATGCGAAAACAACAAACACGATAGCGCGCTGATGGAAACAGTCAGTAGGATTGGCAAGTTGAGGATCGAGAAAAAGTAACGAGAGCGATCTATTCGGATTTAAGCTACAATTAAAATCCCCTAGTCGACCAACCGGTAACGTGAGAATTTATTTCAATCTCTATCATCTCGTTATCATGCTAAACATGACCACAAGTTCATCCTTTCCGATCTTAGGAACTTTGAAAGAAGTCGTGTGGGGAGAAGATTTTCGTTTGATCGATTTCATGTATTCTGATTTGCTTACCTTGCTATGAATGGTATGCATTGTGGGGCCGAAATGGGGGACATGTTATGTGTTTCGCGAATGCGAGGAAAAAGGTTTTGGAGATGGGGCATGAAACAAACGAAGAGTCATGTAACCCTTGCACATGGAGTGATGATCAATGCATGACTGATAGAAAGACGCTGTTGGTTTCCCGACACCGCAGACCAGACAGACGCCATAGTAATGCTGAGACCGGGCTATCAGTGATAGTTAAACAGACCGAAATGGTTCGGACATTGTTTGGACAGATCTTCCGCATTTGAACGTGATCAAGGAAGCGAACAATGACATGTGGAAAAATAGAGACAATTAGCCGTCTCCATATACGCCAGTCTTGCTCATGAAGAACCGAATTTCGGTAAAACCTATACTGAACAACTGGGTCGGATGCGATTTTGCGAATCTTGGGACAAAAGACGGAAGATGGTAACGATCGAGCTTTCATTTGTCCCATGCCCATGAATGGCCATACACATGCCCACAGTCGAATCTGGGCTGTGCTTGACAGCACGCACTCGGAAAAGCGCCCAGATGACAGTCAGTAAGTTGGCGAAGCAACTTATCGGTAGAACATGGCTAGCTAAGCAATGTATGGTATATGTATCCAAGCTGTGATTCTCTGTTCGGAAAGAACAGTAATTTTTGATTAGAAACTTGGGGTACACTGAAAGCAAAAGTAAAAACTATAGGATTGTACTAGCACAGTTTTGCAATGAGAAAAATCGTGGGGCACGTTACCAGACTGAGTAAATAAAGGCTCAAACGGAATGAAGATCAAGGCGGAATAGATTGGTATCGATAACACGCGACAAAACATGATCAGTTCTATGAATGACATTAGACAGAAATAGGTAACCAAACAACAATCGATTAGAGACAGATTACTATCACGGAGCTGGGAAAAGAGAATAAGGAACAAAAGACGTGTTTCAGGAATGTCAGCTCACCAATTTTGAAATGTACCGCGCCTTGCAAATTTTCGCCTACNACCCAACCGTTCTTTTTATCGCACTAATGAAAAAAAGAAAAAATTAGAATTTTCGAGGAAAGTTCTTGAATTTTTATTCTAATTCGGACTGTTCACTTTAGGAGCGGTTCTTTGGCTCGGCAACATAAAGAAGATCAGATGTTTCTGATCGCTCACAGGTAACATAAGAATGGTGAGATCTACAAACTGTGAGGCAATTCCAGCTACTCTATTCACAGGTTTTACAGGACAATCAAATTATTCGAAACATCTTGACAAAAACCGAGAATGTGCGACCTAGCCGGTTGTTTCAGTTTCAGTTTGAACAACCATTAACCACGCATATTCGAGCGCCGGTTCTGGTTGCTGTCTTTCGGCTGCCCATTTGAATGAAGAATAGGCGAAGAAAGGAAAGTTGAANTTTACGACACCCAGCCATAACGCTCAGGGCCTCCAGTCATCGGTTACGATCATCCCAAGGTCCCCAGCCAGGGAGCCTAACAGGACCTATGTGACCCAGTTTCCTGGTTAGGGTTTTCATACCCTCGTGCCAGGTCCTGGCTTGACCACCCTTGGCTTTTTTCCACTCGGTATCTGCTTCGGTGAACATCGCTCGCCGTGGCAACCTACCTGGTGACATGCGTAACACATGACCCAGCCAACGTAATCTATGGAGGTCGACCATTTGCTCCAGTGGACGACCGTATTTACCCAAAACTCTGCCCCTAAGCTCAGCATTGCTCGACCGGCTGCCCCAACAAATTCGTGCAATGCTACGTAGACAGCGGTGTTCAAACACAGACAGTCTGTCTTTATCTTGTTTTCTTAATGGCCAAGTTTCTGCACCGTATAGCAGAACTGGCCGAACTGTCGCGGCCTACACTCGACCCGTCACAGACAGCCGGATGTCCGACGGCGCCACAGATATCTCAAGAGGGCAAACGCTAGTCGAGCCTTCTGTATGCGAGCTGACACTTCATCCGTAATGCCTCCACCGGGTGAGATGTAGCTGCCCAAATAACAAAACTTATCTGCCTGCTCTATTACTTCTCCAGTAAGAGTGAGGCTGGGTGCTGGATCAACCCAGTCTTGTAGCAACATTTTACACTTTGAAGGTGCAAAACGTAAACCGAACATCGCTACACTAGCACTCAAACTTTCCAGAAAAGCTTGCAACGTACCTGGATCTTCACTTAGTAGCACAAAGTCATCTGCGTACTCCAGATCAGACAGCCTGCCACCTGGAAGTAAATCGATGCCACTATCCTCGCACGACGTACTCTAGATCAGACAGTCTGCCACCCGGAAGTAAATCGATGCCACTATCCTCGCATGAGGATAGGACTGCTTCCATAATCAGATCTATAACAAAGTTAATAGAAAAGGAGAAAGAGGGCAACCCTGACGAACATCACTTTCGGTGGTGAACTCGGGCGAAAAAGTGCCGTAAGCCCGGACTCGACTTCGGCTATTAGCATAAAGCGATCGTAATATTGAAATTAACTTCTCGGGCACACGTTTCAGAAAAAGGCAGCGCCAGAGTTTAGAGCGGTCGACTGAGTCGAAAGCCGCTTTCAGATCTAGGTGGTGGGTCTACGAAAAGAAAGCCGGTTGTACCTCAAATTGTGTCGTGTTGGTGTTCGCCGAGCAGAAACACCAACATCAACATACACATATTGAGCTACAATTATTCCACGTCACATGCAACCTGTGTCAAATATGTTCAGTAGCGTTAGTTCCACATGTCATCACATAAAAATAAAAACAAATAAATAACCGGAAAGATTTGTTAGCTATGAGACCAGTATATTAATACAGTTACGTGTATGTGTAAATGTGCTACCAAAAAACGTCTAGAAGGAGATCATGACCCACCTGAGCTGTTCAATCAGTACCGCAATGATAATCGTCAGTGAACGTAGAGTAAACAAGAAAGTGAACCGCAGATCGAAAAGGGGGAAAATATTGCACTAACAGGGCCAAGACGTATGCTACACGATCTAGCTGCACGCACTGACGCCAAATCAAGCAATCTGGTCTGATAACCAACGGAAAAAAACTGTCGCTGTCCGTTTGCTGACAAGGCGTTCAATATCAGGAGTCCATCACTTACAGGAGCTTTCTAACTATGAGCATAAACGACTTTTTTCGTGCAATTCGTGATACCTCAACCACGACGTAAATATGAACTTCCACATGATTTCTTCTATGCTATAGAGGACGGCGGAGTGCGAAACGGTAAACCACTATTTAGCACCACCAAACGCGGCCTATGCAACACAACCTACTCATTCAGATTGTTTGTGACAGCAGAAATTGTCTGCACATTTAAATACTGTAACCAATTAAGAAATGCAGCGAGCAAAGAAGGCAGAAGAGTGCATTGTTGGAAAACATCAAGTCCGTGTGCTTGGTAATGCCTAAAGTAGCACATCATAGTAACGATTGCTTAGTGAGAAGCCATTTGAAGACAAAACAATATTATTCGGACAATGAACTGCATAAAAAATGTGAAGGACTGCTCACTGTCATGTGGATCCAGAATTTGTGGGTACAAAACTGCTTCCAACCGGAAGCGAATTTATAACAGCTTCGATTATCTCATATCCCGTTTTGTTGTTAACTGTTCTATGTGACGTGGGCCTAGCAACATTAGGTGCGCGCGCTCTCTCTCTGCTATGCTCAATTATTTATTTTTTTCTCTCATCAGCCATCCCTCAGATAAATTATTGCTGTGAGCACATCGTTGGCGGCCAAACGATTGGTGAATCACACCTCAATTTGTTTCACAATAGCGCACAATTCACACGGTTTTCTCACGAAGTTGTGTGCTGGAAACTACTCGCCGCTGGAGCTGACCATAAAGAGACTGATCTATTCCGAATGGTTAGAAATGACGATACCGGTCTAAACGGTTTCAAGTTTACCAACATGGAATCGTAAATGTTCAGTGAATCTCGGTGTTTTCTTCCCTCCACCCCACCCGTGTATTAAAAAACAGACATTGGAATCCCAATTATCATACGTAGATGGGATCGAGAATATTCCAAGAAAGAAAAGACAGTCTTCAGTGAATTGGACCGAACTTAGGTAATCAAAAAATATTTGAAAAATCGGTTACAATTGGACAAGAATTCAACAGACCTGAAAGAAGCCAATACTAACAGTTTGTGGATCGCATAAGAAGTGCTACTCGTATTTGACATGACTTCTGTGTAGGGACATGTCCAAATTTTAGTCAAAAGTACATCCTTCGGCCACACAAAAAGCACAATACGTTTGAACCCAACACCAAAATGCGAACAGAACTGTCGTCTGATTTCTAAAGGTACAGGATCGGATATCTCCCGAGGAGATTATTGTAAGAGAAATGTGTCGTAAAAACAATGTGTGGAATATTGGAGAAAAAGAAAGATTAGAGCACACAAAGCATGAGGAAAAAATTCCTCGGGAAAATGTAGGCTGATAACGGTATCACTGGGTATCAACTGAGTAGACACGATTGATGGTTGATAGGTTCCGATGCAAAACTCTAAATAATCCGGGAGACTGGCGGATACGACAGAACAACTGTGTAATAAAATGAAGGAAAACGAGCTGTAATTTTTCGCGGGAGTTGGCCTCGACCGAGTGTGCCCGTCAAGAAAGTTAAGCATTATACCTCAAGTTTGTTTTGTGGCATTAGAATGCATGACTTTTTCAAATCGAAAAATCTTGTATGAAGCACCGCGGAAGAGGTAAACTTCATAGACACAAAGAACACAGAGCATTCATGCTTATCACTTACACAATTCAATGAAATTTACTGCAAATGAGGGTCAACAACCCATAATTGGGAGAAGGCGTGCGTGAAACGCCGGGACTTTTCACACATTGGTGAGGTCCAAACTGAGATGAACAGACGTGACCAATTATTGGAGACCTGAGCTAAGGTGTGAATTAATACGACAGATCAGAATTCAACGCAACAATAGGTTCCGCGGTATTTGAAAACAATTGCAGCACTGGGATAGTGTATTCAAGGTAAGCTGTTTGGCGAGCTGGCTATACCGCTGTTGAGTGTTTGACTAGCAAGCTGAAATATGGAAGGAGGTAAGTTTTTTCAAATGGCCTAGCTGTATTGTCAGATCGGTCTCACCGCGTACACCGGGTGTCGTCCAAAAGCGCTGGTGAGACAACTTTTGTTCGCTCATCCCTATGAGGTATTTTTTGTCCGCACGGAACCAAATGCTAAGAATAGTGGATTTGTCTACGCGCGAACTTCTCTGTTCAGTGCCATATTTACTTCATTAGAAATGAGTGAAATGAGCTGTATCCATAGGTAGCCGATCTATGTGTGTGCGAGTGTTTGTGTTGGCAGATAGATCGCTGGTACGGAGGAAACTAATATGTCGAAATCATTTTCGCATCGACATGTCAGATAATAGTGATACGAGACACATAATTTGCACTCATGCACGACGGAACTCTGGTTTACAGGGGTGAGAACACGATTAGTCGGCGTGTCTAGCGTTTAATTTCTGTCAAGGAAGCATAAACACTCGGTATNCTCAGGTGTATATACTATCAAGTGTGTGTATTGGAAGTGGTCACACAGAGCAATGACCGGTAGGTGGGGTTCCGGAGGGATGATTCAGGAAGCGAGAGTCAATAAGACCTGGAGATAGAACCATCAATTATCAACGACGGTGGTGGCACAATGCAGAACAGAGTGTTTATGATGATATCACTAGTTGACACGTGTTACATCGCACTATGATTTTGTAGCAAGGAAAAGAAAACCGGTTCACGACAAAACATTATACACTAGAATCGATTAGTACCTGATGACATACCAATGCCAATAACATAGCAGTATTATGGGATTGGTGCAAAAGCTGTACTCGGTTAGCAAACAACGTCATTTTGTTATGATAACGTATACAGAAACCAGGTGTTTGTTATAAAGAAAACGTGAAATGAAGTGAGCACGGCTATTTCGGTAGTGGTGGCCAAAATCGTTTAAGTCGGCCTACAGCCTACGGTTCACACTTCTCGTGCGCTACCCAAGTTAGGGTGGGATGTGCATTTGCATTCATTCGGATCAAACCTAAGCCCAGACTGTTGAGGCATTGTATGGATCTCACAATTCCAAGTTTCGGAGCTTTGGTTGCAACAAAACCGCCACGAAGGAAGTTTTCAGGACATTTCCATTTGAATGAACCACGAAATTCATCATTCCAGTTTAGACTACGGAGAAAATATGGCCAAAAATGTAAAGCAATATCGTGATAGAAGTGTCGTATTCTTTAGGGTCAACTGAAGTGAAGCAACATAGTATGACTTTGTCGGTAGACAGTTATTATCGTTTGAGAGTAGTATCGAAATCACTTGGAAAAAAATCGTCGCAGAAGTTAAGTCCTCACGGTTATGGGGGTTCGACCTCTACTCGATTCACTATGCAACACACACACGAAAAATAACGTAACCACATGACATGGATGTCCATTGCTGGTGATACAAGTCTACATGTGTGACAGCACCCTTTCACCTGATCACAGAACGAATTTCACGAGCCGCATCACACAATATAAGCTCAATACTGAGGAAAAATAGTGAGCGGAAGGATGCTACCACGCCGAGAATTCGTCAAGCTACAATTTGTACTCTCTAAGGAGTAGAATGAACGCTACTCTATAGAGGAAGGTAGTTAGTTCGGGTTCACTTCTGTGCCTGTTAATAAACTAAACCTTATGGCATTATCAGCAACCTTTCTGAGTGGCGTGTTGCGAATAACTCATCCCGATCAGATGAGTAAACCGTGATCCAATTTTTGTATAATTGATACATTTAAGGATTCTACTTATAAATTGCTCATTTGTACAGGACAGGAGAGACAGACAAGACAAATATAGACACTTACGCCTTCGGTTTTCATAATTTTGCTACGCAACCAGGACAGATAATAAACCCTCAGCCGATTCTTTCTTCCCGATATGGTGACCAGAATATTCTGTCCCTCAAGAACAGCCATTTGCGAAAACCGACGCCTGGTGATGAGTGAATAAACTGAAAAGAAAACACAAGAGACATCATCGGTAATCAAATAGTTCGTAGAAGATCAAGAGGAAAAAAAGGTGACAATTTTTATGTTGGTCATCGTGAGCACCTCTACTGCAATCCCACTTGCTATGGTTACCTTAATCGGGACGCTATATTTGTGAGACGCATTGAACGATGAAAAAACATTTGATTTTGGTCATTTGATCAACTAGCAAAATCATAATCGAAAGCTATCACCAGAAGGAAATAAAAGTAGGTGGCATGGACAACTCGCAGCAAGAAGATTCATCGGACAGATAAGGATATAATTTTGGAGTCAGAATGCCGAAGAGCAACTTTTCCACACAGATTGACGAACCTTTTCCTTCCCCACTGCGATCCAATAGGGAAAGACCGGTTTCCAGTCCAATCAATAGATTAACTCCCCACATAGCAGCGCAGAGAATCTCCGAGCCGAAACGTTTCTTGTACACTTGGATTTCGGGCGCCTCTTCACCGACACCGGAGGATTGATGATTCATACCCGACGGCCCAGAAGCAGTGGTCACATTCGGAATGGCATGCATCTGGGTAAGGTTTGCAGCTGTTAAGGCACTGGACGGAAGGATATTTGCATTTACCGGATGAGCCAACTGTATATCCACCTAGCAGCCAGGATATGAGGAAATGTAAACAAATTAGGAGATTTTGCCAAAGCAACTACTACAACAAAAGCGACAGAAAAAACAACAAGAGAACACATACGTGAGTTTTTGTACGAGTTTGTTGAGGCCCAACACTCTGTGAAACAGTCTGCTTGCTCTCCGATGCCTCGAATGGCGCGAAAGAATGGGTAGAAGTGGGAAGACCGACTGCCGGTTGAGGCTGTCTTTCTTGACGATCTGACTCGACACGTGTTGAAGAATTAACTTTAGCCAAACGATTGGGGGAATCTATGAATGAGAACAGAGTGGATGCCTTACAATGGAATGATGATAATTGGAACTGATCAAATTAGGAAAACTTGAATCATGAAGTAACATGAACACAATGTTGGATTGTTCTGGATCGCCTATACAAAGTAATGCAAATGGGAACAAACGCGTTTATCACAAACACTGGCTGCGTCCACGCTACGAAGTGCAAACACGCCTTGCTTGCGGTTATCTCAAACGTTTCGGTGTTCAACCAAATTGGTTATTGTTTCCTATGGGGGAAACGTTGTAGCCTAAAAAGCGACTGATCGATACAGATCGAGGCTAGGTACGTACACGAACGAATATTATATTGATTTCGTGTACCCTAGGGGTGATTTGCTTTACACAAGAAGTTCACACAGACTGACTCACTGTCTGTTTCACAACGTTTGGATTTCGAGCAAAACTTATCCTCATAGCTCTGCGGCTTGGTTGTTTACTCGTTGATTATGAAACTTTACAGGAAACACGCCACGCGGTTTACCGATGGTCTATCACTAATAACACCGAAATTAACTTTGAGAAACCTCAGGTTGAATTGCTGCATTACAAGGGTCGCTTCCTATATGCACTTCGAAATCAGCCATCACCGTGTTCTCCAAACGAAAAGGATCTGGGAGTCATTGTTCGTGAGGATCTAGGTTGTTCCACACATTGCACTAGAGCGTCGTCAAAGGCCATAAAGCAAGTTGGATTACTGAAACGTATTTTGGATCATTTGAGGCAGAACTTTGTAGCGCTTGTTGTCAGCATAAATTACAGAACAAACCGAGTGTGCTATACAAGTTTGGAATCCATGACTAATTCGTGACCTAAAGCACTCGAGCGTACAAGAGAACAACAACCAGAGTGTCACAATCCCAAAGTTATGGAAGGCTGCATATTCTCGGACTCCATTCATCTGCATACCGTCGAATACGTGGAGACATGATCCTCCCTTATCAAATACTACATCAAATTAAACACCCGTGCAGTAGTCTACTAACACTATCGGGAATGATCACCTCGGGGGACATGCCTTTAAACTTTTGCTTCACAGGAATCGCTTAACTGCAGGCGTCACTCTTTCAGCTATAGAGACTGTAATATCTGGTACTCTCTTTCTTTCCAAGTTGTTTCTGTTCCAACCATCGATTCACTCAAGTCACGGCTCGATGAAGCATTGAAATACCTAACTGTTCAGTACTGATGAGTGAACGTTATATGCTAAGTGTACTACTAACCGAACCCAATGCGTACAAAACCCAAGGGGGTTCAACAAGCACTAGCTTTGTGATTTACCCATAATAAAATTTGAATATGAACTAAGGATATATGCATATATGTTTGCTGGGGTGATTAGCCATTGTGATGAGAAGAGTAGATTAAGTTTTTCCTATAATTATGTACACAACAGTTTCCTCCCTACCATCCCACTGAAACACAAAAGAATGAGATCGAGGATGAATAAGTAAACAGTGCGTACTGTTTTTACCCGCGCAACTCTATAGATTGTTCTGGAACACTATAAGGATGGTACCATGAAAAAAGTCAGATTGGGAAAAAAGATATTCGGAATAATTATTTGATTCATTTTCTCTCCATACATAACGGAGACATAAGAAGGTTTCAGCATATTACGCATCAGTATATGCTTAACGCAACTGCGATACATACAACCCCGGTTTGGGTCTGATTACACAGTGAACAGATATCACGTGATGGAACTGCGCAAAAGTAACCTGAAACTACAACGCACGGCAGTCAACAAACACATTTTGCACGCGAAATGATCTCCATAGCGATCGAAATCTTCCGGATCTCGGATCTTTGAACTACCGATCCCAGTCGTAAAAGTCACTCAACCACACTGGGTCTATCGCTGAGATAAATTGCATGTGAGAGGACGATAGTGAACGTCCCATTGATTCGTGTAGGATTATTACCGGACTGAGGCTCGAGTCACTAATTGCTTCATTCAACCAAAAGGATGGATTTCCAGCTGCAGGTATCGATCGGATTTCCGGCAACAGTCGTTTGTGTGCAATTCATTCTCCGGGTTCATGTTGGTGAATGAAAGAAAAGTACCACCAAAATGGCATTGTCTAACATGTCAGCGCATGTGGTGCAGTTTCTGATGCTTCGAAGTGTTCGAATACGATAGCCCCCATAATACGACACGTTAGTGTGTTAGCCGGTGAAACCGGATTGAAGGGAATCCGGCTGCTACCCTCTGGATACTTGATTTTCTAACAAGAGGTCACAGTTATATTCACTTGTCAGAATGAATTCACGACTGTGGAAAGATGCAACGCCATCTAAGAGCCCCTGAAAATCATGCAATATCTTGTTGCTGATTTAGGGACCAGCCAATGGATATGAGAAAACCACAGGTTTTACCTTCATCTCAAGCTAGGAGCACCATCCAAAAAGTGAA